TCGGTATGATATCGCTGGATAGAAATTATTATTAAGAAGTAATAAATTTATTTGTTTTGCCTGGGTCATATTTAAATATACTTAAAACTGAGAAAATGTTGCAATTTTGGCAGGAAAGATTCTCGATGTGCGTGGCACGTCATTCCAGCGCAAGAGGTTAACCCTTTCTGAGTGTGTGTCAACACTTTCACGACGAGATTTTATTTTAGTTGCACAGAAATATTAATATAAATAAATAAATGAAAATATCTATCAACACTAAGTAGAATTCATATCGAAATATTTTACATATAAATGATTGCAATTTAAATGATAAAATAAATAGACTTGCATCATTTTTTCTGCAAATAGAAATTAATTTTAATTTTGACAAGAATATCTTTTAAGCAGTTGCACAAAACTGAAAGCTTAAAATCAGTCATATCGACGAGTTAGATTGTTATTAGCGTTAAAATAACAAAATTACTTCTGAAACTTTTATAATGATAGTTTTAATAAATTAATATTCGTTACTCTCATTTCAAACATCCCGCCGGTAAAGTGTTAAGCAATTACGAACCAATTACTATAAACAATTCGTTAGTTTCGAATTTCCGGTGAAACAGTTGCTTCAGCAAGTAACAAGTAAAAAAAAAACGAATGAATTACAAATCTGTGGAAACTGAAAATTTATATTAGAAACACGTCGCGTCTATTTATAGGTTAGAAAGTTTAAACGATACGTATCGAAAGCGATGGATAGGAGATTGAAGCGTAGATTGGCCGTGCAATGACGCGCGCAAGTGTAAAGCTCGGAAATGATCGCGCTTGCTAGATCGGGGCCGCATATTTCCGCTCCTCTTGCGCGCGTCTACTATTTAACCTCGTTTCTTTCATATCTTCTACCACCAGTTGTTTCTGTTCCTCTTTTCCTTCGTTCGATCTCGAACGTAGTTAAACTAAGGATAATCGCGAAGAATGTGAAGAAAAAAGTACTTGCATAAACTTTTGATCTTGTCGCGTCGCATCGCGTCGTTAGAAACGCCGCGTGAGAAAGCTGCGCGCGCATATTGTCTCCTCATTGGCTCTTTGCTAATTTCCTCTTTTCCTTTTATGTTCTCCTTAACCCTTGTGCGTCCATTTTTGTCAATTTAATCCCTTACGTTGGCAACTGATTCGCGGACCATAACGAGTGACCAAACGACGAATTATACAATAATTCGTCGCTTTCTTTTTCAATTCGTCGGTATGATATCACTGGATAGAAATTATTACTAGGAAGTGATAAATTTTTAATATCATTTTGCCTGGGTTGTATTCAAATATACTTAAAACTGAGAAAATATAGCAACTTTGGGACAAAAAGTTCTCGAATGTGCGTGGCACGTTATTTCAGCGCAAGAGGTTAAAACATTTTTCTCTAGTTTCATATAATGTTATATATTACATATAATGTTATATATAATGTTACATATATTATTATAATTATATATCTTATATATAATGTTATATATTATTATGTTATATTATAATACGTATAATGTTATATATATTATTATGTTATATTACAAAACATATAATGTTATATATATTATTATACATATTATATTATATACTATTATATATTATATAATATATGCATTACGTATTATAATTATTATATTTATATTATTTATAGATTAATTGCAGATAATATTCGTTCTCAAAATACTTGATGAGTATTTGAGCTTATAATTATTATATCACAATTAAATGTACTATGCACGATTGTACAATTGCGTACAAGCATTGCATGTGCAGTTTTGAACACATGTAATCGTAACAAATGTGAAGAATCTTTTATCGCATCTGACGTGATTCTAGTAATATCTGACGAAGTTCTAAGTGGTTCAAAGTGTCTTTATAGATTTTTTCGGTCCCCAAAATATATATACAG